GGACTCTGTAATGGCTGGAACTCGTAAGTACCGTTCATTCAGCACCCTTGTAACTCAACAATAGCTGAACAAATGGTCATAATCCGAGGACTACCTGTAGTGTATTTCTTTGCAAGTGCTTCAGTCAAAACAAATGTAAGTGGCTTACAAGTTATGCACCATATATAACCATGCCAGACAGACAGACAGATAATCTATGGTGACTTAGTGCTTCAGTCTTTGTGTAGCAAAAAAACCAAAATCAACGACTGCAGGTCTGCAAAATTTACCTCCCTGCTTTGTAAACCCTTTTTTCAACAGAAGAGCATCAGGGAAAGGGGATCTGAAAGGGGCCAACATGGGACAGTGCAGAAAAGAAGGAAAGCAATGCCGGGACCCAGATCTTTCTGAGAAATCTTCATATCTCATTTCACTCCCAGACCCATTTTCCCATTTTCCTTTTTCTGAGCTTTAAATAATCTGTAACAGTAAGGCCCATGGTGGGTGTTTCAGTTTATTTCGTTTGGTTCTTAATACACTCCTACTTATTAAAGTGCCTATGGCTGCAGGGAACTGAGCAAACTTCACCTTGAGCATTATGGGACTACTTTTCTGACCCCTCTGCTTTTTTCCCTCCCCTGGTTGCAACGGTCAGGTTTCCACTGCTGTGTTGTCCATCACTGCAAAAGCCAAGAAAAAGGAGAAGGAAAAAGAAAAAGAGAAAAAAGAAGAGGAGAAAATGGAAGTGGTGAGTCTAATCCAGCCTTCCCCAGTCTGGTACACTTGCATGATAGGGAGTCCTGAGGGTCTTAGGTCAGGAGAAGGAGCTCTGATTTCTCAATGACAGAAAAACGTCCCAGGGTGATGAGAAATTGAGATAGGATGATTGTGTGAGCCCCTCCAAATTTCCAAAGTAAGAAAACTCTCTTCTCTCTCAACATATCTTCAGGCCTTCCATTCAGTATCAGTCAGTAGGCAGGGAAATGATGAAGCTGTTGTTGTCCTAGCATGCAGGAAAGATGCTCAGGAATAATTCAATTGGCCTCCGAAAACCAGGTTTTTGTCTTCTCTCAGATCCATTGGAAAAGAGGGCGTATTGGCCAATAATCCATCTTCCACAGTTTGGGTTGAAAAAGATGGTACAGAAGAATCTGAAGGAGTCTGGTAGCATCTTTTCTAACTAACTCATTTTATTCAAAGGCAGAAGTGTTTGTGAGTTGCAGCTCATTTCATCTGATGCATTTGATGAAGTGAGCTGCAGGTCATGAAAGTTTATGACTTCGAATAAAATTTGTTAATCAGAAAAGGGGCTTCAGACTCCTCCAGATGTTTTGCCACCATAGGCTAACATGGCTCTTGGTTTCATGGAACAAGGAATGTAGAGAGTGGGGTTGTTCTCCCTTTGTCTTGAGGTCATCTGTTGAAACTCAGTGCAGGAGCAAATACTTCTTTGCTCAGTGCAGAGCTAAAGAGTCGAACCGTAGCCAGCAGTTGTGGCAAATAGCAGCCAATTGGGAAGCTCTTAAAATCGGACTGGACTTGTTCATAGAGAATCAGGCCATCATTGGCTACAACCATTGTGTCAGCCTTTTGAGGTTGACCAGATCTGGAAACAGGCTGCACAAGAAGACTACGGCTGTACTTTGTTGAGGTGGGTGTAGTAACAGAATCTTGCAGGTCTGTCTGCGTTTTCCTTTCCCTCCCTCTTATACCTCCGGGAGGAGCCAGTCTGAATCTCTTCCTAATATTTTCTCTGTTCCCTGTGCTGAAAGCATGCTTTTACATATTTTGTTTTCATAACAGTTTCTGCATAGTTTCTCCAAGGTCCTCTCCGTGGCTCCCTATACATTGACAGCTCCTGGCTCCCTCCTGCATTTTAGGCAACAGCCCTAATACCAATTACTGGAAAGTGGCAGTAGAAGGAGGCTGTTGTCTTCAGTCTAGGTCAGTGTTTCTCAACCTTGGCAACTTTAAGATGGGTGGACTTCAACTCCCAGAATTCTGGGCTGGCTGGGGAATTCTGAGAGTTGAAGTCCACCCACCTTAAAGTTGCCAAGGTTGAGAAACACTGGTCTAGGTTGAAGAGCTTCCCAAATGCACCCAGTTGGCCACTGGGTGACACGGTGGCCCCAGCTAGGGGAACCAAGTGCCTGATCCAGCAGGACTCTTTGGCTACTGCTCATGACCAGCTTTCAAAGTGGTTTGGAAAAGACAGTTCTGACCTGAATGGTGGTTACCCAGCAGATGCATGTAATCCAGTGATGGGTTATGCCATACCATTCTTGCATCAACTCCACTAGTTACCTCTCTTTTCCAGCCCCCATTTAAGTTGCTGGGGTTAGTCTTAGAAGCTTTAAAGCCCTTGGGTCAACCTGGTTCCAAAACCACCACCTTCCGAAAGCCTTCAGAGAGTTGCCCGGGTTCCAGCATCCACCGCCAAGAGATGTGACATTCCCACCCCATCTTGGTCTGGAGGGCAGATTTGACTAGCTTTTTGTACTTAATATATTACCCCCTTTAACTGAGAAACTGAGTTCAACACTTTTCAGCTTTTCAAGGTATCCACAGGTGTTTTGAAATTCACTTAGAATGGCACCGCTTGTAGAGAAGCAAAATTCGATGTGGAGATAGAGATCATAAGAATGAGTGATATTAAACCACCTGATTTTATATTTTCCAGTAAATTTGGCTCTCCGCAAAATTTACAGATGGGCCATTCCATAACTAAGAAATGCAAAAATTTATTCAATGGACTTTTTAAAAAAAATGGCTAAGTTCACCTGTTTTAAACTTTTAAAAGCGTTGAAACCCCCTCCCAGCTTCTTATGGACAGAAAACAGTATTCTCATTTCTCTTGCTCTGCACCCCCCTCAGCAAAGTGAGTTACGTACAAAATCTAACAGTCACTGAATGAATCAAGTCTCTACAGATTCTTCCTGTTGCCAGCATGCCGGTGGCTTTTGCAGCAGCCACAAGGTGGGATGCGATCAAACAAGCTTCTCCAAGGAACTGCTAAAGTACAGAAAATGAGCTGCTTTGCAGACTGTGGTGTCTGGAATCAGTCAGGCAGAGAGAGAGAGAGAGAGAGAGACTGGTTGGTGTAGAGGCTTTGCGCATCCCCACTCTCTGGCTCTGGCCCTTATTAACTTGGGCTTTCATTGGGACCCACAGAAACTCCACAGCTCAGGCCCCCCCAAACCAGAACAAGCTCAAGAAGGAGAAAGATGCAGTCATGGCAAACGGGGCTGGGGTCATTGTAACACAGGGGGAAAGACTTTGAATGGGATGGGGATCCGCACTGAGCCTGATAGTCACCCAGCAAAAGGGACAGTTGTGCTGCTGCCTTTGTTGAAGGATTTGATTTTGGTGCCCTCTGGCTATCCTTTTTCATCAGGTGAGATTGGCCCAGGGTGCTAATTTTTCCAAAGAGGTTGCAGCCTCAGCAGAACCACCTAACTGCAGTGTTTGGTATGCACACACACATCCCCACGTTAGAATTTCTCACCTCCCTTTGTGGCACTTGGCTTGGATCACTTGCTTCAGTCATCATTGTTCTCCTCCCTCTTCTGGTCACTTGGGCGGGATCAGCATGGGGCCAGTGCCAAGTTGGCTCCATTGGTGTCCGGCAAGACCCCTCCTACCTGCTAGAAGCCCGGCGTTAGCCCTTTCTGGGTAGAGCCAGGAGGAACTCCTTCCACTTACAGAATTGGTCCCAGGGGAGACGGTCATCAGGTGAGCAGCAAGCGTGAGAAGAAGTCCTTGCACGGAGCCCCAAAATGAGCAGGTGCTTGATGGTGGGAGCAGAGAGAATCAAGCTCTGGACTTGGGGGCCAGAGATTGGACTGGGCATGGAAGAGCAGAATAAAAGTGGGGCAAATCAGTACATACATTGGTGGAACTTTAAGGTGCTTGGTTGAAAGGGCTTTCTTGTCCAGCCTTCTGACCACCAACGCAAAAAGGGAGGATGTTACCCTTCCTGTTCCCCTGCTCTGGAGGTAGACTGCTGCTGGCTTCCCATTTCAGGACTTCCTGGCTCTCAGCTGCAGCCCTGCTTTGCACCAGCGCTCTGAGCTCCTCCTAGGTTCAGCTCCCGGCATCTGCTGTTGTCCTGGCACTTTTTCTTCCCGTTCCCCTGGAAGTTCAGAGCATTCTTCTTGGGTTGTCAAAACATGCAGAGGCAGCATACCTGAGCAGGAAAAGAACAACAGGAGAAGAGAGACAGTGACATACTCCCAGAGGTATTTCACCTAGGGGGAAACAGGCTTCCATCCAGGATCATCCAGATTCAGCAGGAGCAAAATGTACATGGAAGAACCTCTAGAAGGATGTTGGTCCAGTTGACTTCTCACTGTTACGATATTTGTTGTTGTTGTTTAGTCGTTAAGTCGTGTCCGACTCTTCGTGACCCCATGAACCAAATTGCGCCAGGGCTTCCGGT